GAGCCTTTAACTAGGCCAAATATTCATGTTTTATTTTGTCTCTTTCAATCAGAGAAGGCTAAGCCAGACATAGCAAGACATTTTCACTTAAATAATAAATATTTATATAGTATTTTAAAGTATGCAAAGCACTTTACCAATATTCTCACATTTTATCATTACAACAGCCTGGTGATGTGGGACCTACAAGGTCCTATTATCTCCATTTTACAAATAAGAAAACAATCTCAGAAAACTTGAGTGATTTTCCCAGAGTTATACAGCTGGTCAAGTATTAGATGTAAGAGTTCGAACCCAATGTCTGTATACAGAATCTTGGAGATTCATAGGCAAACAGGGATAAGTGACTTGCCTAGGATCACACAGCTAGTAAGTGTCTGAGGCTGGATTTGAACTCAGGTCTTCCTGATTCCAGGCCTGGCACTCTATCCACTTCAACACCTAGTTGCCCCCACCATAAGGTCCTTACATGCACTAAATGTATAATTTTACACTCAGAAAGTAAAAATTGTTCATCTCTAAAGCTAAAGTAGCCATAAGTCTCTGAGGGACTTCAACATTATTTTACCATCTGTTTGCTGTCTGGCACAATTTCCCTTAATTTCATTCCTCTCAGTAGTAACTACCATTTCTCCATTCACCAAATTCATCATGGTGGACAAGTGGGATTCAGCTCCTTAATTATGCAACTGACTCATAGTGACCTGAGGCAAGTTATTAACTTATTCTAGTCTCAGAACTTTTAATAACTTGTCAAGTCCCTCATCAAGGTGTCGTGAGGATTAATGAATTAGAGTTCATGTGGATCTCAAAAAGATCTGGAATATGTAGGAATGTTTACAGGTTCATCTTGTTTATTTGTTTGAGATCAGTGGGTTAATATGTACAATTACTACTCAAAATTTTTGACTCTATGGTATAACTGACCTGGCTAGACCTTGGTACTACCATTACTGTTATTTTTATGGTCTCCTTGCCTAAAGCCGTCTCATCACTCCAATCCGTTCTCTATGTAGATAACAAAGTAATCCTCATAAAACACAAGTTTGACTGTGTCACCCCCCCCATTCAATAAACTCCATTGGCCCTCTATTACTTACATGATCGAATATAAACTCCTCCATTTGGCTCTGATAGGGGTAGCTAAGTGGCAGAGTGGATAATGTGCCAGGCCTGAAGTCAGGAAGACTTATCTTCCTGAGTTCGAATCTGGCCTCAGATACTTCCTAACTATGTGACCCTGGGCAAGTCAATTAATCCTGTTTGCCCCATTTCCTCATCTGTAAAATGAGCTGGAGAGGGAAATGGCAAATCACTCTAGTATCTTTACCAAGAAAACCCCAAATGGGATCACGAAGAGTCAGATGTGTCTGAAAATGACTGAACAATAAAATTAGGCTCTGAAACTCCCTTACTACCTGGCTACTTCTTGCCTTTCCAGTCTTCTTACACTTTACTCCCCTGCACATACTATATAATTCAGTGACACTGGCCTTTTTGCTGTTCCTCCCACATAACACACTGTCTTTTTGTGGCTATCCTCCATGCGTAGAATGCTTTGCCCCACTCACTTCCACTTTTTAGTTTCACTGACTTCTTTTAAAACCCAGATCAAAATCCACCTTCTGTAGATCTTCCCAGGTCTTGGTCTTTCCCACACACTCAGACCTATACACACTACTATTGTCTTCCTTCTGAGATTAACTTCCATTTACATTGTATATATCTTGATATACAATTTTTCTATATTGTCTCCTCTATTAGAATGTCAGCTCCTGCTTTTGGAGGGCAGGGGTAGCATTTTTGCCTTTCTATTCACCAATACATACTAAGTGCTTAACAATAATAATTAAAATATCATTATCATTAATAATCACAATTGTTGATTGACTGTGGCCAAATTGATAACCACAAATTAAGACTTAAGACAAATAGTACTAAGGCCAAATTTCTAGAGCATAATGGAAAATGGACTATAAGGAAAATGTAGGATAAGGAAAATACCTGAGTTCTAGGTTTTAATTCTTCCACTGACTAGCTACATGACCTTAGACAAGTCAATTAAATTAATCTCTCTGGATCTTGATTTGTTCATTGGTGAAATGATCTCTCAGATCCCTTGAAGTTATAAAATCTTTAGTTCTTTAACTAAAATTTTCAGAATATCAAAAGTCTGAGTGGTAAACAGTTGTCAGTTTGGTCTTACAAAACTGATTCATTCACTTGTGAGGAGGGAAAAAATTGTCAGGATCTACTGTACCAAAGGTTAACCAGGTCATATATGCAATAAGGAACTCAGCATTATGGAGGAAATTTTGAGTAGCATTTGCAGAAAGTGTTAAAATGCTAAGCTCCAAAAAATGAGTTTTCTGAAACAGTCCTAAATACCCCAAGTTTCCTTCTATAAATCCACTGTAACTCTTATTCCTCTTTTCACCAAGCCATGATCTGTTACCATCATCTCTCTTTAGTTTTTCTAAACCCTAAAGGCTTCTTGGTAATCCTAGCAACAGGTCTATAGAGTTGAACCGGATAATGTCAAACACACCTAGTTCTATTCTGTGGTCTGATCAACTTTTCAATCTACAGACCCAGAAGTAGACACTAACCAGGTGCCAAGGGAGTAGGTGCCCTCCACTCCTGTGACATCATGTGACTAAGGCAGCTGGAAAAGAGAGGACTCATTTCCAAGGCCTATGAATCTCCAAGACGCTGTATACAGACATTGAAAGGGATACAGCCTATTATGAGAACAAAAGGGAGTGACATCTGACTCTTCTGAATAGTGTTTGGGAAAAGAAAAACTCATGCAATTAGCAGGTGCAATAAAGATGTGACATTTAAAAACAAATTATGCCACATTGTCGTCAGTCTTTAGCAAAGCATAAAATGAATTATTATCCTTTTATTCTTTCCATTTCAAAGACTTTTTTTTAATTGCTTTGCCTTTAGAGGTTTAATTAAAAAAAAAATTCAATGCAGTAACTACCTCAACCTACAAGCTGCTAGGAAGGGCTTCACTTAGTTTTCATATGAAACAGAAAGCCTGCAGAAAGAGAAACCAATTAAAATATAATGGGAAGGGGGAGGGTTGTGCCGGGAATCCAGTTAAGTGGGCTTTTAAAAGCACCATTGTACAGAAGACTGGTTTGCAAAACGGGGATAGTAGAAAGTGAAAATTTTAGTTTTCTAATTCCAAGTCCTAGAAAACCAAACACGTTTAATCAATCTCCCATATGGATAAGCAAATATAAACAATCTAATTCAGACTCCATCAAGAACTACTCATATGTGTTTTCAGTAATTAGCTAATATTTGTCTTACACAATAAAATGCACAAATTTTCTATTTCATGAAGTATTATTTTACTTTAAGATAAATAGACATCTGACCTCTTTTCATTCACTCCCAGATCTCAGAACTTAGTAGATAAGTACTAGGAAATACTCTGAGAGTTTAAGTGACTTGCCATAGGTCACACAAAGAAAGAATCAAAGACAGAATTCAAACACACATCTTCCTGATTCTATTCCTATTATTCCTATCCACTATAGCACACTGCCTCTTACCTTGCAAATATAAGTGATTAATAAATTTATCACCTTGTGGCCCATCTGGTGCCGTGTCTCCCAATTTAGCAAGCTGGATCTCAGATGGCAGATATATTCTGTCACCAGGTCCATACTTGAAGCTTTTACCATTTGGGAGGCCCTCCTAGACCTTGAGCTCCACTGGTATAGTCTTCCAGAAACCAGAATCAGTTCCATACCATAAAAAAGGCATCCAAAGAGGACATTAATGGAGTGCTCTGGTTGGAATAGCCAAATAAAGACTTGAGTAGAATTTGACTGACATAAAAAATGCTGAGAGGTACTACCATCTTGTGATATCTTTATAAATGCAAACTCAAGGATTCTTGGAAGGGAGCACATATAGGACCACATCAGAAGAGATGTAGCTTGGCTCTGGAACATCTGCTATTATTTTTCTCTTGACCATAATCAATCCATTTTTTTCCCTTCATCAAGACTGGTCCAATAAAAAATTGTGAAGTAGTTATTATTTATCCTTAGCATGCCTTCCTTGCTTTTACTGATGATGCAAATAATTAGTAAAGTTACAGGCTTAGAATAATAATATATTTTATTCACTAAAAATACATTTTTTTGGAATTTTTTGCTTTAGCATTTATTCTCATCTAATGAAAGTATGGCTCGTGAATAAGAAATCTGTCTTGCCATTGTTCCAATCAGTCTTCCAAGTAGTAGCACCTGATTGGACTTTAGCTACAGCTAGATACCCAGAAATGTAATAGGCACTAAGTAAATAATTGGAGTTTGAATTTTATGAGACACCTAGCTTGTATTTTTTCATCAAAAAATTTTAAACCTTTCCCTAGGTTATGTACTTTGTAATAAAATGAATGAATGAAGCATTTATTAAAGGCTTACTATGTACCAGGCACTGTGCTGATTGTCAGGAATGCAAATCTAAAAGTGTTAGTGTCTACCCTCAAGCAGCTTACATTCTAATAGTAGTAGACAACACATCAAAATGGAGTGCTACAGAGTGCTGCCCAGATCAAACTTCTGGGCAGTCATATGGATAGTGAGTTGGTCATTCTGCTACATATCTTAAGTCTTTTTATTCTTAGTTACAGGTTTCTGGGAACTTGGAAACAAGCCTTTTTAGAAAAGGATTTTCACACTGGCAGACCAGCCTAAAGAATTGCTTTTCAAAGGAAAAAAATGATAATATCAAGAAAATCCAAAAGAGGGGGGAAGATTACTAATAACTAACACAATTTCTTCACTAACTGGAAGAGACCCTATAGCTCTTCCATGTATTTTAATCTCCCTCAAATCAGATACCACCAATGAAATTCTGATTGGATCGTGCTGTGCTGTCAAATGTTTTGCTAAAGGAACCTGTTTCTATTGATAGATCAATACTCAATTATCAAAATAACTGAGGAAGAAGAAAAAGTAGATCATACTTACAGGTCACCTGGTTAGGATCTACAGGTACTCCTGAAGACAGGCTCTGCTGGACCAGGCCTCTCCTATAAGTGAAAACAGTAGTGATAAACCAAAAGGAATTCGGCCTGCCAAGTTCTAATATATGACCTTTGATCATCCTGATTGGATTGTCCAGCCACTTAAATATAATGTCTATGACTAGTACAAGCTTCTTAACCTTCCTAGGTTAAGGGTCAAAGTGGAGGTAAAATAGAAATCCTTCCATTAAAAGTTAATGCAACTTCACTTCCAATATCACCCATCAGTCTCTCCAGGAAAGGCTGACAAATCTATTGACTACATCGAAAGAGTAATTATATAACATAGCAGTGCTCATGTCAACATTAGGAAATTTGAGCAAAACTTGAAAATTACTTTGAAATCAGTACATACATTGGCTGGATGAGAGAAAGTATGATGTGGGGATGGGGGGGTGAAGGGGAGGAGACTGCAGAATGGTTGGAATGAAAGACATTTCAGAAGGATTCTTACATAATGATAGACTGCGAATCCAGCTTGAGAAAACATTGCATCTTTGACAGGAATCTTACAATATGGCATCCATATTTCTAGCATCCCCATTGTAAGAGTGAAGGAAATCTTACCATGAGTCTGGCTCTCAAAAGTCACCATCAGACTGGGGATTATAAATAATAATTGATAACTACCATTTTATAGTTTACAAAGCATCTTCCTCATAACAGCCTTCTGAGGGGAATACCACAAGTATTGTTATCACCATTTATACATGAAGAAAGGCTCAGAGAAGTTATGCAGTTAATGACTGCTGGAGCTGGGATCTGAACCCTAGGTCCACTCTACTATGCTGTACTGCCTGCCCTCAATTGTGGTTCTTTGCCACTTTAAAACACTCAGTTCCAGTTAGAATATTATAAATAAGAAAAAGCAGCAATAATCAAAACCCAGAAAATTGTAAGCAGCTAGAAGGTTTAGTGGATAGAGTACTAGACTTGGGGTCAAAGAAATCTGAGTTCAAATTTTGTTTCAGAAACTTACCACCCATGTGACTCCTGAGCATATCACTTAACCTCTCTTATCCTTAAGGCAATGGGTCTACTTAAGGCTGAAGGTCTTTGGACCTAATTTATTGCAACTACCTGACTTGCTAATAAATCACATAAATCAAATTTTGTGTTCTCAGTTTACTTCAATTCAATCACAACACTGGCTAACCAGATCTTGATTAAAAGACAGAACCAAGGACCAGGCCTCTTAACTACTTTTCTAGTGTTCTTTCAACTGTGCCATGATTTGGAAGCAGAACCCATTCTCAAAGAGTCATCCAACTCTATCTATTTGCTTCTCTGAAGATGGACCAGCATTACTAATGATATCAGGAAACATCAAATTCATCATCAGACTCACTATTTATGAGTCCTAGGAAGATGTGATGTTTTTTAGAGCATAGCCTATGCAAAACCTATATTAATATTCCCTCCTTCCCTTCTCAAGCACTGGGGTGCTTCTTGACTGGCCAAGTCCCATCCCGAGCCATTGCTCCATCTAGAAGTGTCTTGCCAGGAACTCCCTATGCTACTGTTTCCCTGGATTTCTTTATCAAAATGTAATGGTCCAGCTGATTACTTTGCACAGTCCTGCCTCACTTAAATCTAATTCACTTGAATGTCATGGCATCGCCTCCCTGATGTCATGGTACTCTTTGAGAACAAAGGACAAACAGCAGCAGCGAGATTCTGCCAGCAAGCTGATCTTGTAGATTATTATCAACTCATAAGGGAGTTGCTGCTAATGGTTAAAGGATTGTCCCCTCCCACTCCGCACCTCACTTCACTTTAGCCCCAGGTTACAGCATTTTAACAAGAAACTTCAACTTAACTAAAAGGAATGACTTTAATTATGGTAATTCTAGGAATCTTAATGGGCCTGTGGGGAAAGATATTTTGGGCAGGGGAGATTTACAGAACCCTAGACTAATACCTCATAGTTAGCTGCCTCCCCTCACCCCCACTACTGTTTATTATCTATTATAGCTGGAATTTGAATTATTTCTACAATTTCTCTATTGCTGCTATCATTATTCATGGATTAATCTACATTTTTAATGGATCTGTGATTTCATTGGTACGAGGAACTTCCAGTCTTCCACATGTTCTCATCTATAACTTAGTCTTAGAGACAGCTGTTTGGGGGCACTGAGAGAATGCGACTTAACCAAGGTCACACAAGCCAGTATGTACACACAAGACTTGAACTAAGATCTTCCTGACGATAAGCTAATCAACATTTAGTCTTTTATATTTCTACCTTCAGAAAAACAATGAAGAGTAAACAAAAAGTAAATTAATTGTGTCAAATGTAAGATCACAATTTCATGTCCCTCTAGAGTCTAAAGTAAACTCTAGACAATTAGTTCCCTAGCATTGGGTCAGTATAGAAGTTAAGAGAAACCATCAGCAGCAATGTTGCCCATGACCCAATAGCAGGTTTTCATTAATTGGAAAGAAGCATGTTTTTTTGTATAATGATTATGTCAGGACTATACCTTAAGAGAAGAGTAGGTTCATTCAGGTGAATGGAGAGACATAATGCTTCAGGTTGTTCCAGAGGTGTTACTCAGCCTACCTTCCCCTCCCTACCCCCCTCCTCCACTGGGAAGCTGCTGCTCCCAATCAGCTCTAGCCTTGTACCAGTTGGTAGGGGAGGTAGACCACACCCATTCATCAACATTCCAGATGGACTTTGGGGGTTGGTTTGTTCTATAAACTTCCATTATGACTACTCAGACTACTTAGCACCTCCCACACATCCACAGCACACTCATCCCTCAATTGCTAACATGAACAGCAGACCTACTTCACAGTAAACAACATCAAGTTTGCCCCTTTTTGCCCCTATTAACCACCTCTACCCACAAGTAGAAAATCATAACCTTTGTTATCTTCTTCCATGATCTCATCGCTACCCAGTCCCCCCCAATCTTTCTCTAGCTCACTCTGTCCCTTTTTGCCTCCAATGATTTTCACTATGCCATTTAGAATCTTTGTTCTACCATGATAAAATTCTTTTAAACCTTTCTTCCAGGGCTCCATTTACCTCTATCTTGTTTAGTCATTTTCTGTCATTCTTTGTGACCTTTTTGGGGCTTTTCTTGGCAAAGATAGTGGAGTGGTTTGCCATTTCCTTCTCCAGCTCATTTTATAGATGAGGAAACTGAGGCAGAGTTAAGTGACTTGCCCAGGGTCATACACCTAGTAAGTATCTGAGGCTGGATTTTAATTCAGGTCATCCTGATTCCAAGCCCAGCACTCTCTCCACTGTACCACCAAGCTGCCCTATCTCTAATAACAAATTATAACATTTATATACCTGTATGTAGCAAAAAGCATAAACAAACATGTAGTATTTAGGATCCATGTCTCTGTTGGGTGGCCTATAGGGGTGGCCTTCAAGTATGAAAAGGGGTTGGATTTTAGAGCTAGAGAAAGATGTCCAATATCTACCAGTCCTAGGACATATCTGTCAGTATAACTCAACCAATGAGTGGGAGTTTGGTGGGGCCACTAAAAGGTCCACAATAATAGTTCCAACTTAGACCACAGACCAGACTGTATACCTATCAGAGCAGGCCCAGAGTAGCCTGGCTGGTGTAGGCCAGACCCACAGCGCCCAAGGCCAGGCTAGGTGAAGATAGAAGAATTGTTTTTGCCATCAAGGGCCAAGTATGCTAGGAAGACTTAGCAAGCAAAATCTGTTTCACATGGACTAGTCAGAATAGAGAAGCTCCAAAGCTTTAATGTGTGTAGAAAATTAGAAGGGTGATATGCTCAAGGCCTGAAATCTGAAGGGGAGAGAGATCTAAAGGGCCCTATTAGGGAAGAGTCTTTATCAACTGAGTCAGAGTAGCAGATGGGTCTTTTCTCAAGCCAATGCAATAGCCTAAGTTTAGGAACAACGTGGGGAAAAAAAATTGGATTGTAAGGACTGTAACAGAAATTCAAAAATTACTTCTATTACCTAACTATTTACATTGGTAAGGGGAATTTCTTCAAGTGAGAGTGCCTTAAGCCAATGAAAACATATTCATATCTTCTACCTGTTACTTATACCCTTTCCCTCTCCCCCCCACCGTGCACTCCTTTGTATCTTTTCTCCACAGTGCTTATAATAAACATAATTTGAAAAAAAAACAGAAACAGAATTAGTATGCTACTTAAGTAGGGTATATGGCATAATAATAACCTCTGTAGGGTTCCTGGGTTTTAAGGTAACTGAGAATAATAACAGTTAATACCTAAGTAGACTTTAAGGCTTACAAAGTACTTTACGTACTAGATCCTCACAACTCTATGAGATAGTGCTATTATTATTCCATTTTAGATTTGAGGAAACTGTGGGTGAGATAAGTTAAGTGATTTTCCCGGGGTCACACAGCTAATAAGTATCTGAAGCCATTTGAATTCAGGCCTTCCTAGCTCTAGGTCCAGAGTTCTATCCATTGAACCACCTAGATGCATCAATTTAAAAAGAAAAGAAACAACAAGACAAACAAAATTTAATGCCATCAAAGTATAATGATTAAGCTTTATTCCTAGAAGACACATGAAAAGGCATTTCCTCCCTGTTTTGTTTAGTTTTATTTTTTACAGAGGTGAGGGACTATGAGTATGGAATATAGCATATATCAGACCTTTTGAATATTTTGGTTAGTTTTACTGAACTATCATTTTTGTCTTCTTTTTTATGTTGTATTTATAAGGCATTGATCTCTGGAAAAGAGAAGAAAACACTGGGACATATGGATGATGTGAAAACAAAAGATGTTAATAAAAATTTATTTGAAATGGAGATGGTAACAACTGTACTATTAAGGATTATAGTTTTGTTTTGTTTTTTTCAAGGCAATTGGGGTTAAATGACTTGTCCAGGGTCACACAGCTAGTAAGTGTCAAGGATCTGGTCTGAGACCAGATTTGAACTCAGGTCCTTCTGACTCCAGGGCCAGTGCTCTATTCACTGTGCCACCTAGTTGTCCCAAGGATTACAGTTTATAAAAAAAAAGTGT